AGATGTTCAGTAAAGAGAGGATGATACTTCTAATTGGGAGTATCCACCTTCCTCAGATGACCCAAGGAAAGGTCACATTCAGGGATGTTAATAAGCCATGGTGCAATGGGCTGATCATTGGGGACAGCAATGTCATCCAATGCCAGACCCACATCATCCAGTTGTGCATGGATATGAAGGCCAAAAGAAGGAATTGCAGACCATGTATTCTGAAAGAGCATGACCCACTGAGGAAGAAAGACAACCTCAGATGGGATGCATGCTGTGGTAAGTTTGGTAGCATACTGTAGAGAAAGTTGCAAAGAGCGGATGTGAAGCGGAGGTTCGTGGGACTCTGTGTACGAACTTTGGACTAGAGAAGTGCAGAAAGCCCCCTTGCAGAGTCGATTCCCCAGATGGCAAATAGGGTCCAGCATCTTCAAGGCTGAGGTCCTGGCAGATCCATAGACCAAAGAGCCATAGTACATTTTGGACTGATTGAGAGCACAATAGATCTTGAGCATAAAACACCAGAGGTGGAAGTGAGGGCATGGAGGATGTTCAGTGTCCTTGTACACTTGACACATAGCTGCTTTATGTAAGGAATGAAAGTAAGCTTATGATCAAAGATAAGCCCAAGAACTTTGCATCAGGAACCACAGGAAGAACAAAATCACTGAAACAGAGCTCGGGATCGGAGTGTAGGCCCCGCTGGTGGCAAAAATGCATGTAAATGATTTTGGAAAAATCAAAAGTAAAACTGTTTGCTGTAGTACATTTCGACATGTGATTGAAGGCAGTCTGAAGCTGCCACTCAATAAACCTCATGTTCGATGACTGACACAAGATGTGGAAGTTGTCAACATAGAGCTCACTTGCTACAGTAGGAAGAAGTTGTGTATTGATAGCATTAATCTTGATACTGAAAAGTGTGACACTGAAGACACAGCTCTGAGGGACTTCAATTTCCTGTGTAAAAGAATGGGAAAGAGTCAAACTCACATGGACTTGAAACTGCCTGTCAAGTAAAAGGTTCTAAATAAAAATGTGTAAATGGCCAAACAACCTATATGAGTAGAGGTTCTGCAAAATGCTGTACCTCCATGTAGTGTCATAAGCCTTCTCAAGGCTAAAAAAAATGGAGACAGGATGTTCTCTCTTGAGGAAGGCTTCCCTGATTGAGGTTTCAAGTAGAATCAGGTGGTCAATTGTGGAGCACTGTCGATGGAACCCACACTGGGTGGGCGAGAGGAGGTTGTTTGATTCGAGGAACCAAACAAGATGAGCAATAACCATCCTTTCTAAGACCTTACAGAGACAGCTAGTCAAAGTGATTGGATGATAATTAGAAGGAATCTTGGGATCCTTCCCTGGCTTAGAGAAAGGTAGGACAATAGCCTGGTGCCAAGCATCAGGTAACACATTCTCCTGCCAGGTTCAGTTAAAAACAACCAGATGAAGAGCAAGAGAGGCAGGAAAGTAATGGTGCAGCATCTCATAATGAATGTCATCTGGTCTAACCAATGTACTGCCAGACTGATGAAGAGCAAGTTTCAATTCCACCAGTGTAAAGGGGCAATTATAATCATAGAGATGATCAGCCTGAACAATGTACTGCCAGACTGATGAAGAGCAAGTTTCAATTCCACCAGCATAAAGGGGCAATTATAATCATAGAGGTGATCAGCCTGAAAAGAAAGAGGTGATCACTCTGCTAGAGACTTGATGGCTGAGAAGGCAGGGGAAGAAACAGGAGTATTAGATGCATGAAAAAGCTCTTGCTGAGATTATCGATGATGCTCTGTATGTCGGTGACTTCCTGGCCATTAGAGAGCAAGATGCAAAGGGTATGGCAAGCATACCTCCCATTGCCCTTCCAAATCTTGTCCCATATGACTTTGGAACTGGTGGTAGAAGAGATGCTAGTTGTAAACTTAATACAAAATTCCTTTTGGATTTGATGTCTGACCTGCTGAGCATGAGCCTGCTGGAAAGTGATGCAGTTGGAAAGAGTGGGATATCTGCAAAAAGTATCCCAGGCCTGTTTCTGAGCCTTCAGTGCCTGCTGGCAGACTGGAGACCACCATGGGTGAGGATACCATGGGAAACATGTCAAGGTTTTAAGTATAAGATGCACAGCTGCTTGAATAATGCAATCAGTTACTGCTATCACACAGTCGTTAATAGATGGAAGACTGATGACAGCAGGATCAAGTTCAGAGAGAGAGAGGTGAAAAAGAGCCAGTCGGCCTGGTCCAACTTCTACCATGGCACTTGGGTCAGGTGGCACAGACCATGGTCAATCTCCCTCAAAACAATAAAAAACTGATCACCATCCCATGGGTCACTGTCAGTCCTTCAAGAAAAGCGTGAGAAAAGTGAAGGGAAGCAGACAGATAGATCAATGGCAGTAAAAGACTGACTAGTTGCATGAAAATAAGTATAAGAAACAGTATTGAAAAGAGAAAGGTTGTGATGCAAGAGCATACACTCTACAGAACGACTCCTCCCAGCAATATCAGTACCACCCCAGAGGAAATTGTATCCATTAAAGTCTCCCAGGATTAAAAAGGGAAATGGCATCTGTTAATAGAGCATAAAGGTTATGACTGATCACAAGTCTCACCAGGAGACAGGAACAGAGAACAAACAGTGATGGTACGACCCAAGGAAACACAGATGGCAATGGCCTCCAAGGGTGTATTGAGTTGCAGAGACAAAGTGTAGATGCACTGGTCAACCAGCAGCACCACCCCTCCATGCACTTGCCCATCACACAACCTGTCATTCCAGTATAAAAAACTGTCAAAAGGTGACAGTTTTGGCAGGTTGCAGGAATATTTCCTGTTAGAAAAGACACACAGGATGATACGTTAATGGCCTTAATGTTGTCCAAATTAGAAAAGAAATCTCAACAGTTCTACTGTATCAAAGTGACCATATTTACTTATGTAGAGGAGAACTGGGTAGAGAACTCTTCTGTTTGACTATGCCATTTTTCTTTACTTGGAGGATATCTGTTGACCTCTATGCATCCTGCCCTTGGTTGAGTGGGAAGATACCTGTCATTAGACTTAGATTCCAGCATCTGAGAGCATGAATGAAAAATCATTCTACATCTTGGGGCTGAAGAAGATAAACTCAAGCAGACACTGGAAGCCCAGGCTGAAGGAGGTGAACCCAGGCAGTCACTGGACGGAATGGTAGAGAGAGAGGTAGGAGTAGACATTGACTTGTCAACTAGTTTATCCACAGTGGGGAAAAAACACTTCACAGGATGTGACAAAGATTCTGACAGAGGCATAGAAAGCTCTGTTTGCACACCCACTGTAGCAGCGGAACGGAGTGCAGCAGCATATATCCGTGATGGAGTCTGGAACAACTTTCGAGCCTCCAAATAAGAAATGTTGTAAACTGTTTTTAAACACTGTAACTATTTCTCCTCCACCCATTTAGGGCAAGAACGATAGTAAGAGGGGTGGGAACCACTACAATTAACACACTGGAGAGGGTTAGGAAGATAAGATCATACCTTACAGTTCAAATAGCCTGTCTTGACAGCGACAGGTGGACGTGGTGATGTAAACATCAGAATGAGAACATTAGTGGGCAGCATAATTCTGTCCATACGAGTGGAGATGCATTGCACAGCAGAAACTCTTTGGCTGGATAAACCAGCAAGGATCTCCAGCTCAAGAATGTACTTTAAATCCCTCTTGACAATAAACTCCTCGTGAGGTAGTAGCATGGGGAGTAACCTCAATTGGTATATCCCCAATGGCCTCTGAATTCAAGAGGAGTTAATTGTGTTTTGGGGTGATGTTTCCACCAAGACGTCCCCAGAACGTAGCTTCTTGAGTGACTTTGGAGAGCCAGCAAGCCCCTCTAATCCCTTCTAGAAGGTGCATTGAAGTTGTTGGAAAATTTTACAAATTAGAACTTGCCAAGGGCTTTCAAGTGGGGTATAAAAGACTGGAGCATGTTTTTTCAATGCTTAGATTGGCAAAGAGTGGAAACCCTGGAGATCAAGAGATAGCTATAGTGTAAGGGAAGGTAAGTTTGTTTTGGAATTAAGGCTTGTCAATCTATCAAGCTTAATACACTGACCTTATGGTAGCCTTGACCTTTTAGCACAACTAGTAACAAGCAGGAAGAAACCGACAATCCTCCAGCTTAGTGGAAAGTTAGTATGGTTCATTATTCACATTTTTTGTACAAGTTTCGTTTCTCACGTGAACAGTTATTGTACTCATGATTGTAATCAAAAAGTTGTCTTTTCATAGCATATGTCACAAAATACCCAAACAATTAAATATCTAAAATACATATATTAATATGTTCAAGAATAGTTCTCTTATTTTCCAGGACAATTGTAACCAAATTCAACATTACTTTTTTACAGACTATCAATTATGTACAAAGTAGTTCTAAATACACACACTGAACTGTTTATTATTCTCAACCTGTGTCTATGCAACATTCACAGTAGAATAATATTATGAATGGTTTTACCAAATATTAATCAATCAATTTCCAAACCTTACCTACTAAAATAAGAAGAAAGTCAATGATGAATGTAAGAACTACACTGCATAACAAAAAACATCCTCTCCTCAATCAATTCTAATAATAATACACCTTTGTGAAACTCTGAAACTAGATTACACCAGCAGCAATAAACAAACTGAATACAATATTTCATCACCAACACCACCTGTCAGTAAATTCATTGTGTGAGAACATTCATTTTAAATCCAATGTGTATAAACACATGTAATAAAACACAACACACTGTAACACTCACATTCAAAACTGTTCCATCTCTAATGTGTATCATATATACTGTAACACAGCATAATTACTCTGTAACCAAACAGATAAGGAACTGTTGTACCTCTAATATGTATCATACATACACGTAATGTAACACAGAATACTTTGTAACCACAGAGATAAGGAACTGTTGTACAGCACACATAATATAGCACACTGTAACACATAAATAGGGAACTCTGTTGTACCTGAATCCAAAACTTCAATGTGTTAGTAGGTGGCAAAAATTCAATGAACAGTAGATCAAAAGACATATCAAACAATTCTCCACACACAGCTAGATGAGCTATGGAAGGAAAGAAAAAATGTGCTATTTTATTTGTATGTTTAACTATTTATATATTGAAATTTATTTAAATATTGCTATAAATGTTTAAGAGTTTTCAGTATTCTTCCTGGAATGAGTTTGAGACCAAACGAATGTCCTAAAACAAGTATTAAATCAATTCTGATAGCTAGTAGTAAACTATGGTAATAATAATAACTGTTACAATACCTGTAGTTCCTTAACTATAATTTAAAACTTGTATATGACAATTTTTTTCTGCTTTTTCATTTTGGCTAGATTCTTATGTTTTGATAGAGAGTTACAATTCTGTTTAAATATATTGCATATTACTCTGAAAATACAGCAACAGAACACACCAGTACAAGTATAACACATCATAAGCATACACTAGTACAAATATAACACAACAACAAAGTAAAGTACTTTAAATATAACACACCAACAGAGTTTACCAATATGAATATAAAATGTAAACTTTACCATTTTCTTGATGCTGAGATGAGCAATCAATCCAGTTGTGCTCATTAACAACAGTGATCAGTTCAAATTCCTTGATCATTAAGTTAATATGGCAAGTGTAAGGAACAAAATGGAAGAGGTCAGGGACTGACTTGTTAGACCAATCTTCCAGAAGTGCTGTGGAGAAATCATTAATATATGCATGTTTTAGAAATAGTTCTTACTTTGTTAACTGGAATTTTCTACATCAAACAATCTGGGAATATGTATTTACCCTAAATGTGTATTCAACTACTTAAAAAAAATTCAATAAGAATGTTTAACAAAAGGACTGTTAGATGTAGATATTAGAGGTCAGTATGGGTAGCATATCTGGAACTGGGTAACTGGGTGAAAAATACCTCGGAACACAACATGGTCCCATTTGGGAAATATATAATAAAAAGACCTTTGCATTAAAGTCAATTACAAACATTAATTTTTTAACTGTATGTAACAGAACTAATAGCTGTAGAAAATTCACATACATTTCCTCTCTCCAGATCTGTGGACTCGTGTAGTCTGTTTTTTTATTGAAAATGACTATTTTAACCTCATCTTTATTATCCTGGCCAGAGATCTACACTTAAAACTACATTGTTGTAATATTATATTTTTATGTTGTCAAATTAGCAACTGATATCTGGGTAGTGAAAAAAGACTCGGTTAGGTAACATATTAGCCAGTGGGTATCTGGGTTTTCAATTACCAGTGTCAACAAACCTTTTCCTTTATTTAACATCTTAACAAGTTAAATTGACTAATTTCTTGTAAGGATACATAACATTGCACGTTGGAAAATTAAAAATGTATTTATTGTAGTTAAACAAACTAATATGTTCAACTCTTCTGTAAAACCATTGAGATCCATACTTGAAATTAAACTACACAATCTCAGAATTATTTTGTCTCCACATACAAAACTAAATACAATATATATCACAGTAACCCACCCTGAAAAAAGTTTTTATGAGTGTAGATGAGATGAACGGTTGATTTACATCCTGTAAAATTGCAGGTCCACTCTTGGTGAGCATTCCAAATCCGAGGATACTTTATTTCAATGTTGAACTATGACAAGGAAAATTTCTTACTTATGCAACTAAACACAAGCATTCTACTCAACACAGAGCAAAATATTAATATTGTAACACTGATTTACAGATTGTTAATTTCAAGCCCTTAAAACATAGACATACTAACATTAACATTTGAGTTTTTTAGCCTATTACACAAAACAGTTAAAATAATAAGTATAATAGTTTCACTCCCAAACTGTATCTTTAAATGACAGATCACTCAAATAGTATGTATCTATCAGTGTCGGACCATCTGGCAGTATGTATCTATAAGTGTCAGACCATCTGGCAGTATGAATCTATAAGCGTTAGACCATCAGCCAGTATGTATCTATAAGTGTCAGTCCATCAGGCAGAATGTATCTTTAAGTGTCGGACCATCTGGTAGTATGCATCTAAAAGTGTCAGACCATCTGGCAGTATGTATCTATAAGTGTCAGACCATCTGGCAGTATGAATTTATAAGTGTCAGACCAACTGGCAGTATGTATCTATAAGTATCAGACCATCTGGTAGTATGTGTATATAAGTGTCAGACCATCTGGTAGTATGCATCTATAAGTGTCGGACCATCTGGTAGTATGTATGAAATAACAACTGACTTCAGAGATAATCTAGCCAGTCACAAACAAATAACAACTGACCTCAGAGATAATCTTATTAGTAAATAAGAAATAACACCTGACTTCAGAGATAATTTTGTCAGTCACTAAGAAATAACAACTGACTTCAGAGATAATCTTGTCAGTCACTAGGAAATAACCTGACCTCAGAGATAATATTGTCAACAACTAATAACTGACCTCAGATACTCTTGTCAGTCATTACGAAATAACAACTGACCTTAGAGATAATCTTGTCAGCCACAAAGAAATAACTGATCTCAGATAATCTTGTTAGTCACTAAGAAATAACAACTAACCTCGGTTAATCATGTAAGCCACTTATGAATAACTGACATCAGAGATAATCTTGTCAGTCAGTCAGTCAGTAAGAAATACCACCTGACATAAGATATAATCTTGTCAGTCCAGTCAGTAAGAAATAACAATTGATTTCAAATAATTTGGTCAGTCACTAAGAAATAACAACTGACTTAAGGTAATCTTCTCAGTCATTAAGAAATAACTGACCTCAGAGATAATTTTGTCAGTGACTAAGAAATAACAACTGATTTCAGATAATATTGTCAGTCACTAGGAAATAAGAACTGACTTAAGGTAATCTTGTCAGTCACTAAGAAATAACTGACCTCAGAGTTAATCTAGTCAGTAACTAAGTAATAACAACTGACCGCAGATAATCTTGTCAGTCACTAAGAAATAACACCTGAAATCAGGCAATCTTGCCAGTCACTAAGAATTAACTGACCTCAGATAATCCTGTCAGTCACTAAGAAATAACTAACCTCAGATAATCTTGTTAGTCACTAAGAAATAACAACTGACCTGAGAGATAATTTGTCAGTCACACAGAACTATAACTGAAAATTTCACATTTCAGAAACAGGAAATAATACAATGTGTTAGCCCATTCTTAGGTTGGGAAGAGATGAAATAATTGGTCAAGAAGATGTCCACATTTTGAAAAAAAACAAAAAACACGTAATAACAGTTTGACCTATTCCTTAAGTATTGGTCACAGCTTCTCCTTAAACTTTTATGCACAGTCAAGAAGATCTCCAGGGTTTCCAGTCTTTGCCCATTTAAGCACTGAAAATGCTTGCTCCAGTCTTTTACACCCCACTCAAATGCCCTTGGCATAGTCTAATTTGCGAAATTCTCAACCAACTTCAATGCACCCTCTACCTAGGTACTCTATATAAAATAAGTACCTCATTCAGATAATGTAATCACTTTTTGGAGAAATAAGCCTGCATTTAGTGGGGAGGGAGGGTAGGAGAATGTAAGCGGAGGTAAGTTTTATTGGAAATACATTTTCAGTTTAGGAAAATGTTACATTGCAAAACATAATTACCTCCACTGACACTATAGCTAGAATCTCACATTGAATATGTGGAGGGGCGGTGCAAGCATGAACCATACAGAATGCATCTGTATAGAACAGGAGTGTACCAAGATAAAAATGGTACAAGAGTAGGAGGAACCGCACTACTTCCAGAAGAGGTATGCTCTTTACCTGGAACTCATAGGTGGAATAAAATATGAGTAATCATCAGTACAGGCCAGCCCCAACTAGATAGCTGAGGTTCCACAACTCAGGGTTGAAACTAAGGGGTCGTGGTACCTATATCCCATGTTGGTGGCTAGGGTTATTGGACTGGAATGTTTTATATATATATATACACTTTCGATTGGATCCCAAACTGTAGCCATAGAGTGATGTGTTTCACGCCACTAGCTGGAATCATGATGAGAAACTAAGCAACACTGAAGTGGACAAACTTTCTCATCCACATGAAGAAGTTCAAAAGGCAACAATCCAGGCTCAGGATGATGGGATCATGTGTGCCATACTCAAACAAAGGAACAGAACTCATCCAGTCTGGAATTATGATCCTCCATCCTTACTCTCCAACCAAACGGGCAAAGAGTATTCCACTTGCCCCTCGAATTATGGAAAGGATGTGGAACCTGTGCTCAACTAAGGAACTAGGATGGGATCACTTCACTTTTAGAATTATGAGGAGATAAGTGGACCTCCTTCCATGAGCAATATACAAAACCAACATTGATCAAGAAGAAGCGCCATGCATCCCCTAACCAGAGAGATTCATGTCAGATCTGAACATGAATTACGAGTAGGCTCCCATGGAGGCTGATGACACTCCTACTGACATCTGGCAAAAACATCCAGGGACCCGAATAGGAGGGGCCCCCAAATTTGTCCTCTTCTCCAAGAGTGGAGGAACACACTCGAAAATCTGGAGGAAAAGCCTGTCTGCCACCCCAGCAACTGCAAACTGGGTGTAGTAAGGACTCCCGAGCTCCAATAGTAGAGTCTGGGTGGTAATAAGTGTTGGGGAGTCCTGAGGAACACTGCTCTGGAAACTGTGCAATAGGTGAACCAAGTTCCCTACATTTTTAAAGCAAACTAGCCCCAATTTATTCAACCTGAAGATTGACAAGGACAGGTAGTATTCCCTTTAGCTTTACTCATGATAGTCCATGAGTGGCAGTCCATAATAATCATGTAATACCATCCGATAGGCACCTAGATGGTTTTATGGAACACCCCATTTCGTCAGCCTGTTGCAACCTGTAGCAATTATTGTGAAAGTGGTTGCTAATGCAGAATTGACAAGAGAAAACATACCTAACTGGGCAACACTTGCCAGAGAATGAAAAATAAAGGGACCTTGGAAATAAAAAAGTATGTGATGGAGGAAAATACCTCTGGTTAAAATCTAACAGATGTGGTCAAAATAGCTACAAAGGATAGTTGAAAATCCTCAGAAGAAGAAACTGCCAGATCATGTAAATAATAAGATAGGAAAGTATTAGTAGTTGTCCACACACTAGCCCACACTATGTCTTCCAGAAGGCAATTTAACTGGGCAGCTAATGACATAGAGATATGATGAATCTGGTGAGTGACATGCAACAGATTCCTCTTCTGTAACAATAATCCATTATAGGATGAGCCAATTTAAGAAGCCACCATGTTATGATAATGGGAGATAAGTCAGAGGAAATAGAAGGATTCCAATGACTGAACAACTGATTCCTACTACCTCGAAATGAGTTAGTATGAGCCACATAACACTTGAGGGTCCTAACAGGACATAATACTCCCCGGCCCATGGGAAAGTCACCGATGCCATTGTCAATGGTTCGCCTGAGCCAAAGATTTTCGAGAATACAGTCGCACTCTATTATGAAAGCCAATAGACCTGGAAATCAAAGGAGGAAGTCGGGAAACACTATGAACCGACACTCCAAATTAGCGCCAGAAAGGCGAGAAGCCAACGACGACAAAGAAGAATGTAAATGAGTTGAATCAATTCGTAATTGTAACGTCTCTGGAATTCTGGCAAACAACATGGTATGGAGAAAAGGAGCTTCCCGTAACTCCATGAGGGTAAAAGATGGTAACTGAACACTTTCTAACAAAGCATCTCTACCCAATAAATCCCCACAACAAAACCATCCAGGAAACCAGAGAAAGAACTAAAGAAGACAATTTGGCTGAGGTAGATATCAGAAACATCCCCAACTCATCCTCAAATTGCTGAGGGGAACACTGATAGGCTTCTGAAAAAAGTCTAATTGAAGATAAATACCTCAGGATAGTCGTGAGAGTAAGACAAATCCGAGAAAACTCTTGATCTGTTTAAAGTGTTCACATGTCCCAATCTTAATCCCCACAGGTCCATCTGTTGAAAACCTAAATATACCTCCTCCTGTCACTGATAAACCAAAGCATGCTGTTTCAATAAACATAGGGGACAAGGCATAGCTATCCTATAGCATAACTGAGCAGCAAATCTCCCAGCATGAACATCAATATCAGGAGGAGGAAGAAAACCAAGTAGTCACTTACGTCTTTCTGCCAACAACAATGAAGAAGTAGAGTGAAATGCAACAGGAGAGACTCCCAAAACCTCATAAACAGGAGCAAACCAATTGAAGAAAAGGGGCTGGATGAGGCTCATCAAGATGATCCTCTGTTGAGGCTTACCTAGTAAAAGAATGAGCCAGAAAAAGCGAGTCTAAATTCTCCCCAGCTGGTCCAGGGTCATTGCAATAGGTGCTTCAGAAGCCCCCAGAGAGACACCCTCGGTCCAAGTGTATGACTTCATCTGATAACAGATCATATCTTGGGACAGCTCCGACTGAGACTGATCCCTCCTCTGTCAGTTGACAAACATCTGATTAGCAGAGGTGGAAGAGAAGAGGTCTGGTTGGCCTCAGTAGTAGAAACATTAACTCGGGAATTCATACCTGTCGGTAAGTTTTTTGTTAAAGTAATGTATAAATATAAATGAAGATATAACTGTAGCAATGCCAACTATGTTCAAAGTCGCAACATAAATTGTGAATTCTCATAACAGTACTGTT